GTTTATTTCATTTATTACTTTTATAATATCAAGAAAAGTTAAATATTTTATCTTTTAAAAAATGTTATGTCGTTAAAAGCTTGAAAAAACTCTTCTCAAATACCTAAATAGAAAGAGCTGAGAATATAAGGCATAAAACGCATTCAACGGACGCTATTTATGATTAAAATTCTGTGTCTTCTTATTTATTGCTGAAATTACTATATTTGCCCTTCCGTTTAATTTTATTTGTCCACTATTTTTAAAAAAAATTAATTTTTATTTTATTTATTACTTTTATAATATCAAGAAAAGATGAATAATTTATCTTTTAAAAAAAGTCATGTCATTGAAAACTTAAAAATACCCTTCTCAGATACCTAAATAGAAAGAGTTGAGAATATAAGGCATAAATTCAGTGAATGCGATTTATGAGTAAAATTCTATGTCTTCTTATTTATTGAAATTACTATATTACCCATTATGTTTAATTTTATTTGTCCACTATTTTTAAAATATATTTATTTATTTCATTTATTACTTTTATAATATCAAGAAAAATTACCTAAATAGAAAGAGCTGACAATATAAGGCATAAAACGCATTCAGCGAATGCGATTTATGAGTAAAATTATGCGTCTTCTTATTTATTGCTAAAATTACTATATTACCCCTTTCGTTTAATTTTATTTTTCCACTATTTTAAAATTTTATTTATTTATTTATTTCATTTATTACTTTTATCACATCAAGAAAAGTAAAATATTGTATCTTTTAAAAAAAGGTCATGTCGTTAAAAATTTGAAAAACCCCTTATCAGATACCTAAATAGAAAGAGCTGACAATATAAGGCATAAAACGCATTCAGCGAATGCGATTTATGAGTAAAATTCTATGTCTTCTTATTTATTGCTAAAATTTCTATATTACCTCTTCCGTTTAATTTTATTTGTCCACTATTTTTAAAATATATTTATTTATTTCATTTATTGTTTTTATAATATCATGAAAAGATAAATATTTTATCTTTTAAACAAACGTCATGTCGTTGAAAATTTTGAAAAAATGCTTCCTAGATATCTAAATAGAAAGAGCTTAGAATGAAAGACATGAAACACATTCAACAAATATGATTTATGAGTAAAACTGTGTGTCGTCTTATTTATTGTTGAAATTACTATATTACCCCTTCCGTTTAATTTTATTTGTCCACTATTTTTAAAATATATTTATTTATTTCATTTATTACTTTTA